AGCTGGTGGTGCACCAGCGCATCGAGCAATACCGCACTCCGCTCTACGTACGCGATAGTAGTATCAGCGCAAGTTGGCGGACAGACACTCAGTACTTTAACGGATTAATCGTTTTTTTTTTGTTTTTTTTCAAAGGACTTCACTCCTTTTCTCGCATTCTACAATTCAGTTAGTGTCTCGCTGGAGTTGCGTTTGCAACCCTTTCACGACGGTTGCACGATAGATAATTCAACCCCTTCAGCTAGAGTCTCCATGCAAGAAGGTCTCCACTCTCTCTCTCTCTCTCTCTCTCTTTCTCCCTTCACGGCGTGCTCCGTTTCTGCTGTCGCAGAAGAGCAGACCGATCCGTCACCGTGAACTCTCGCTCACGCACTGCCGCGGCTCTCTCGCTCCACTGACTTAGGGGGTAACGCGCCTTCGCGCCGGCTGCCAGCGGGCCAGCAGCACGAGCAGCAGTGGCAAAGCTCTCTAGCACACGGCCAGCTACTAAGCAGCACCACGCACGACAGGCAGCCTCACGACTGCCCTCGACTGCCGTAAGTGTGTGTCTGCCCGTCCGCCCGTGTCGGCGCGGCCTCGCGCGCAGGCGGCGTCGGCGTCGGCGTGCGTTGAGCGGAACGGCGACGACGCCGTTAGTCGGCGGAGCTGCGAGCGAGCGGCCGGCTAAGGTAGAATGGTTCTCCTCGCTCTCTCGCTCTCCAAGCGACGGCGGCGACGGTGGAGGTGGTAGCAGCGCCGCCGCGACGCTCGCGACGACGACGTCGCGATGGTCCCGCGGAGGAGCGCCCCGTCGATGCCATCGGCCTGGGCGCGAAATCGATGGCCGCAACGCGGCGTCTGAAACACGGCACCCTGCGACCTGTGCCGCACGCCTTACCCCCGGTGCGGATATACCGGGTGTCCTATTTTGCGCCTCCCGGCGCTCTTCGACTTTGCAATTTTGCGAAAGCTCGGCTGAGAAATCTCAAAGTTCATGCGCTTCTTCCTTCCTCGCCGTTTCCTTCTTTGAAGTTTAACAATGATTTACAATATTTTTCTGGTTATATATGTCCAGAAGAAATTTTATACATTGCATCCTCAACAAATTTAGGAATGCAGAAATGCATAGAACAGTTTGAGAAGAATGTGTCTAATTTACATGTAATTCACAATCGTAATTTGCGATATAAGACACAATTTTTTTACATACAATATTTGTCTGTTTATCTTAAATATGTTAAACTTTTATATATCGATCTCTTTTAGAAAATATAAATCTTCAGTTCAGAATTAAAAGCGCAACATTCCATGCATAAGAACCGTGAGGATCAATCGCTGTAAAAGTATTATATATATTGCAAATATAAATCTACGTTTATGCGCTACGTGCAAATTTGGCCATGTTATAAAGTGTTATAGAAATATTACAGTAGTCGAACTCGGACGAGACACACACATACACAAATACGTTAAAGTACTGGAAAAACGTGCGGAAGAGGCGAGGTCCTGCGGAAGAAATTCCCTTTGATTTATCGGTTGCTTTTAGTTTCTTGAAATATGCATTGCCTCGTTCTACATGCCGAGCATATTGCTCAAAAGAAATGTACAATCTTCGATATTATACAAATTGCTTGCCAAATTGAAAAGCTGCTTAAAAATTGATGTATTACTTTTTCTAAAATTATTCATTATTTAATCTAGATTTTTGGATCAACTAGTTTGTACATGTTTGCTCACGGATACATTTAACGATAGCAGTGTGCAGTTTTTTTTCTTTTTTTCTAAATAAATAATGCGCGCATATGCGGGTAATAAGGAGTAATATATGCCGCGCCAATATCGAGTTCAGAGTTTGCGGGAAAGTTCTTCTTTTCATTTTTATCACATCGCGTGAATATGCATATAGGTGCACCGATAGGATTTTCTGAAACTATAGCAACCCCGTGTAAGCGCGCGAGGCAACAGAGCGCCGAGTGGAAAATGCAATACAGCTGCATTTCAACGGTGACGCGAGTCCACGTGCCGCTACGATGAATGTAGAACGTCTCTGTTTATGTCATTTTTGCAGGTAATTCGATATCTAAAAATCTGCAATATATTTTCAACAAACCACGCGATACGCTGAAATTAATAAAAGAACAATTTTACATCATGCTATTTTTACTTAAAGATCCGCTGCACGATATTTTTATGTGCATATTACTTCGTGACACGAATAATTCGATGATAAAATTATTATCTGCATCTGATAATCACATCTTATTCGACATATCAATGTGCTTTGCGGTCCGTCGAATCGACCTACAATTACCGACAATTTTCTTTTATTGTTTCGCACATTTTTGGCAAGGCTCTTGTTACGCGTACAAAAATCGATGCTTGCTAAGTGCTTTCCAAACTGACAAGGCTGTTCTTTTTAACTGAAAATTGAAAGACTTTGTGAAACATTGCCAGCAAGCATATATGCAATATTTTTCTTAAACATTAGACTTCTCATATGAAAAACAATTCACTCAATTATAAACTAAATAATAGCTTCTTTAAATGTTCATGTACAAATTAAAAAACAAGTTCACTAATATTACATACTGTTTATATTTTCATCGGAACGCCACACGATGTAATGCTAAAATTTTCCAATTTCAATTTTAGATTAATTAAAATACTTTGAGTTAAAAATGATGAGATGTCGAAATTTGTCTAACGTTCAAGATTGAAGGAAAACATGTGAGTATATCGCACACAATAAATATTGACGATTGCGGTCGAAATCGTGGCCGAATGGATTTTCCGGCTAATTTCTGGTTTCCAGAATTCACATGGGACCGTGCTGGCCCTGTCCCCTGAGTCAATAGACTCTCTCTCTCGCTCTCTGCGGCAGATGTGCGTATCGATTTCAGGATGTATCGTCGTATTCGCGCGTTTGTCCCCGTACAAATGCGATGTGGCACATCTTGCTCTTTGAGACAACGGCTCATCGCACGTACGTACTGTCTTCACGCTGTTTAGTTCCCGCTCCACATTGCGGCGGCGTCGGCGTCATCATCGGCCAGCAGGCACACGCAGTGCGAAGCAGGGGGTTTCGCAGAGACAGCACCTGGAGGGGCCACTGGGTGGCCGGCATCACCCTCGCCAGGTGGCTGCAACTTGTTGTTGCGGGACCCCGCGACCTATACGCGGGCCTTCCTTCTCCCTCTTTTATGCCCCTTCGTTTCCCTCTTGCGCACGGCTCCGCTATTCATGATTGATGATGATCATGCACTTCGCGCATGAGGAACTCAGATAAGAATTCCCGTTTTCGTGAAGAAGCGGAGGCGCTTTCCGTTTTCCAACCGGCGAATTCGGACGTTTCGCAGGGGGGCTGTGGAATGAGCGGCAAATGTTTTGAGTTGGATTGCAGCGAATTATACGAGTTATCGATGTTTTTATTTTATCGTTTTCCGTCCCTTTCTTTCGATTTTAATTTTAATATTCCATGTCCTTCTGAATTCGTCGCAAAAGTGAATAAAAATAGATTGTCATGCTTGAGGACGCAGAGTTCGAAGAAGGACAGCTGCCTTCACGCATCATTTACGGAACCCGCTGCCGCTATTCTGAGATGACACGTCCTTCGGACACGATGAAGACCGTTGTTCGCGCTGAAAGGAATGCGTGAATCCTCATGTCGCCCGATCTTCCAAAAATAAGGGATGTTCTCTGTGGAATACCTTTGGAGTGGCACGCGCGTCATTTTTTTCCTCATCTCTTTTACGGCCATTGACTTCTCGATTGGTGATGCAAGAAACGTTGTAGTGCACGACCTTGTCTTCTCTGCCATTTTTTACGCTCAAGATGTCCGCATGTATTTGTGATAAGCCGACACAAGCTTTTAATTTGCGATATAAACTACTTGGGCTGATAATTATTGTTCGCAAAGTCATCCGACAGCACATACGCTTTAATCGGGAAAAAGTCATGTTCTGTCGCGGCTTATATGTACCCGCATTGTCAGAAGTGATAATAAAATTGCATAAATTTTCAGCTTTTACGGTAAACGTATACACGTCGTGCGTGTTACAATAAACATTAATTTTGTAAAAATAACGATTTTTCTGTTTAGAAATCAACAATTCGTACGTCTCGACGATTCCGATATATCAATTAACAAGTTCCCCTTCAAAGTGCACTGTCGGAAAAATCAATTTATTTATTTTTCAAGAATCAATCAAAGTGATTCGCTCGGATGCCGACGGGCGCAACATCTCTGATGAAACAAAAATCTGAAAGAAAGGTACGAGAACGCATGTTACGGAACACACGTGAACGATTTAATTTCCGTTGCAGTAGCGAGATGTGTGTGCCTTCCGACATCGGTGCCGAACTGGTCCGCGTTTCGACAACCTGGAAAACAGATCGGGACCACAGGACAAGGGACGGCCGCGGGGTGGAAGGGGGGAGGAGACTATGCGTCTGGGGTTACTGATACAGAAGTGGGACACCCGCGACCGAAGGAGTTTAGCCCCCCCGCGCATCGTGACAACGGCAAAACTCGAAACGACGTCGTCGTCGGACTTGGCTTCCGGCCATTTCCCGACTATCGATCCACGAAGCGTTACGACGAAGCTGCCCCACGTGCAATTATAGTCGTATCGTGTGTTATAACACGCCGACTTGCTTCGCATACCAGGAACCGGGAGGCACATTATCCTCGTCGCGCAAGGACGATCCGTGAAATTTCTATGTCGCCCGCTCATCCTCGATTTTGGTTATACAAGCGGTAAAGCTGTTCGATTAGTCTTCTCACACTCGTAGATATTGCTTTCGTTTCAAATATTCATTCAAATCGATCGTATTGTTATTAAGCCATTAATATTTTCTAAAAAAAAATAACGCTGCAAATTTCATTGTAACCGAAATAAGAGATATTCCGCATTTGTTCGGCCAAATATTCTCTCTTCACGATCTCAACATATTCGTAATAACGGTGAAAAGACGTTTGACGTAAATTTATTGTAAATTATTGTAAATCTTCAGAATGTTGATATTAGTGTATTATACGTTATATTAATATATCGTTGGCTGCGTGGAAAAGAAACGCCGGGCTATTTTTAGCGCGAGATAAATCGGTGTGAACGACTCCAGGTGTATACACCGAAGAAACCCCTCGCGATTGCTCGCAAAACCCGTGGTCGACGAACAGTCAAACACGTACACGGCCGGAATCGACCTTAATGCGAGCGCAATTGTGGATTAATAATACCGCTGCAATAATGAAATTGCACGTGAGATACGTGCAAATTTGCATCTCTGTCCATCGACCCAGAAATCGACCCGGAATTCACCCAGCGCAGACAACGCCGATGTACCTCGCTCTTGCCATCGGTTTGCCAAACGAATGCCGTGCCGGTGGCATCACGAGACCACCACGAAAAATAAACCAGATTTCTCGTAATGCGTTTTCGGTCAGGTGTAAGGAACAGTCCGTGAGAGTCCGCCCTACATGAGTGCGACACGAACGTACGCTTGCACGTATGCGTGGAATCGATAACTAGGAATTAGTCTGCCCGGCTGTCTCCCAGAACTAAATGCGAACATGCGGCGAGAGAAAAATTGAGTCGATCGCCCCTCGGAACTGATACATTTACGCGAGTTCCATTTATTATACGCCTTGCAAATATCGAGGGAAATAATCGACTATTATTTACCGCTTCTTTTCTGAATAATAAAAAAAATAATTGCTATTCATAAAGCCCTTCGTGCAAAAATTCAGAGTAATGATTTCGTTTAGCGAGAGCTGAACTTCATGAACAGTGTTATTATTATTAATAGAGAGTCACGAGATGGAGGATTTCATTGTTTGTTTGTTTGTATGTTCAAGGAAATAATTCAGGATTCAACATGACAAAATACTGATGAATTATATCTCTTGATGGCACTTGGCAAATCTTTTAATTCTTAAAAAAATGGATGTTTTTTCTACGACAGAATATCGTAAATATTTTTAAGCTTTTTATTTGAATTCTTTCTTTCATAAATCTTATTGTGATTTCGTCAATATTTGATTAAATAAATCGAGTTAATCCCAAGGAGTCGCTTTTCAACCCTTAAATTATTTTGCATTAAGACACGTGTACAAAACTAATACGTATTTTTTTATTTTCAGTTGTTAAACAATCGTGGCTGATTAAAATCGCAGAGAAACAGTGTCATATAGTGGCTCATCGGTCATCGCATACCGCACATATATCTCCTTTTCTCTTTCTCACTCGGCCTAACACCATATGCGACTAGAGGTGTTACGTCCATGATGGACACACGCGTAAGGAACACCAGCCATCGGGTGAAGGGCGGCAAAGTAAACGTGGCAGAACAAACGAAAATGTGCCCGCACAAGAGGCCAGCAGCCCCAGGGAAAGAGAGAAAGGGAGACGGAGAGAGCATCACTATAGCCGGTACCGAGGATCAATACGTCACGAATACGGTCACTACTATTCGTGCATACGAGACTGCACCCATACCGACCATCATATTCCGAGAACATTTTTGCAGGTTGTTACCATAATTATATAAATCATTCAGTGTTAGCTCTTACTTTTGCGTCAACGTACGTGATAGGATATTGATATCGCCATGGGATGACTATTCACCTTAGAAAACTTATATGCATAAAAATATATACATATTTATGTAAAAAGCAGACGCCTTTAAAAAATGCTTTAAAGATTGATAGTCTCTTTTTCAAATTTATCTACTTCTGCTTATTATTACACTTGGCCCTAGATTTCTTGTGACATTTGTGCATTATTGTGTATATCATCGATGAACCTTTTGTTCATTAATAATTAAAATATATAAAGTTGAAAAGAATTTTTTTTATATTGCAACAATATAGCGAGGTAGAGTTATTTAAAAAATGCACAATTTATTTTTGATCGTTATTTATCTAAGAAATAAACTTTTCTTTTATCTTAATTGTGATTTAGTCATGTACTTTTAAATAAGTTATATGTTATTCATTATAATAACACTTTTATAGTCGTCTCTTTTTCAAGCCATTCTCCAGTCGCATATTTTTATTAAATTATTTCGTATCTTTGATTGCATCACTTAAAGCTAATAGTTTTTTTAAGAAATGTATATCAAATCTGATAAGAAAATATTTTCAAAATATCGACTCTCCAAGAACTATGGAAATACAATGCTATAAAATATTATAACTGACAAATTATCCTGAGTTATCGCTGTTATACAAAATAGGAAGGAGTAATCAAATCAAGATTACATACGTAAATACTACTTTTAAATAAAATAATTTAAAGATATAGAGAGAAGTAATGTAATCTTAAGCAGTTATAAAATTCTTTTTATCAACTATTTAAATCTACTAATCAATGCCCATTTCTAGTCTTTGCTATAATCGATTTCTCGATTCATTGGGTTCTCAATTTAAAAATAAAATTGATAACTGACATTTTTATGTTTGAAAATAGATACAAAAGTATTTTCCTAAGTATATCTTAAAAAGATATTTTTCTTGACAATTTTATTGTTTGCCTTCTTCCTTAACATACGTATGATACATTCTTCACGGAAAATATTTTCATTCTAAAAGTAGAATCCTTTCCTTTCATTCTTGTTTTGCATTTTACTTTCACTCAAAATGTCAGTTGCCATATTTTATACAGCAAACTTTCCACCGTCGTCGTACTTTCAGTAAGTTTTATCATAAGAAACTTACTGCAAAAGCTTGCTTGATATGGGATTTTAGTTGAAGAAATCTTCAACCTCCGCTAATTCTCTCGCTCGTGCCTGTTGATGAGCCCAACGAGTTTCTGCAAGTTTATCAGTTAATCCCCATTTGTCATGGTAGACGCGTTGACCGCAACTTGGACATTTCTTACCCCCTTAAACAAAAAGGATAAATAAAGTTCTTCTTCTAAATCTTTCTATGTAGTGTAATTTAATATTTAAATAAAAATCTTTGTTTACCATGGAACGGGGGAGTCTTCATGTATGTCACGAAACATTTTAAATGGAAAAGATGACCACAGTAAAGCCTTTCGGCGTGGAAATCCGCATTTTCGTCGTTTACAACCTCTTCTGGATTTGCTGGCAGACATATCATTTTGCAATATTGGCAAGGTTCTTGTGGAAAAGCTTTTATGGATCTGCAAAAATCAAAACATCATAAAATTAAAAACAATATAGCAGCTAAGTGTATACTTGTGTAAGGATAAAAATTACTTTATTAGAAAGGAAGCAACTGTGTTTAATGACAGTGATGGTGTAAATGGCTTTTGTTGTGCTTGCTTTCTTAATGGTGGCTCGACACATTGTCTTGCTAATTCTTTTCCTTGTCCAACTAGATAGCGTTTAAACAATGATGGAAAGTTTGTATCAACATCACTTAAACTGCAATAAACAATGTAAATTAATAAAATTAGATTCTAATTTCTTACGTTAATTTTACAGAAAAAAACATACTTCATACAACTGATAGGATAATTATCTGGCACTTCAAGCTTGGTCTTGAAATAATACAAGCCCTGGTGCAACGTTAAATTAATAGAAGAGTTCTTCTGTTTCAATTTTAATTCATCCTTGTCTCCCAGAAGTTTCTTCAATGTTGTTATTTCTTCATAGCAGCAGATCAGAGGATTCTCTTCAATAAAATTTCTAATAAGTTTCAAAATTGGCAAAATCTGCAAAGGTAAGGATTTGTTGTCTTAGAATACAAATCTTAAATATAATAATCAGTTAGAAATTTAAATGTAGATACCTGTGCTTTGTTTAAAAAACCCTTGCACTCTTTTTCACAGACCTCTGTTAATCCATCAAGTAACTTTGTAGACAAAGTTTTACTCTTCAACTCGATAAATAATGGCGAAGCAGGATAATCTTCTCTAAACTGGATACACACAACAAGATGTTTGAACGATGTTTTTCTGCAAGATGAACAAACCAAATAAAAACAATGATGGAAAGCAATTTTGAAGTAAAGTGCAATGAAAATACAACACAAAATTTCCTTACGTTATTTCGACGCGGACCATGCTCCGTACGCAAGAAATGAGGCGACTTCCTTCAACGACATTGTGACAGAGCTGAGATACTTCGTGCAATTCATCGTCGATAAATCCCATGAGCAAGGACACTTTAAGGAAAGATGATTTGGTGCTTGATGATTCTGATGCTAAGTGAAAATAATTTGTGCGAAATCACAGTGCAACATAACTTTCAAACTGTAAACCGTGACCCCACTAGTTGTCGAATGTTATTTGTAAATAATAACACAACCAAATTTCACGTCAAAGCGCTGTTATTGTTACGTCACTTTATTCACATCTATTCATCAGAATCTTGTTAGGGTCGACGGAAAGACGGGCTAGGTCCGGAACTTTTAGAGACCTCGTACGGAGTAAATACGAAACTCCGAATTCAGATGTTCAAATTACCAAGGCTGCATTCCAATATTCACTGTCAACACTGAAATCTATAGTTCGCGTTACATACACCAGAGAGAAGACTGAGAGTGGACATGCCCGCATTTTACGTGTTTCTGTGGGCTAGCGCCTCTATGTACACAAAACGTGCACATTGAACTACGTAGCCAATGTCCACGAATCCCGTAGGTAATGTCCACGATCTTTTGGGTCTCTTCCGTGCTACGTCCACGACTTTTGGTTCCGATATGTGCTATATCTACAAGTGTCGGTAATGCATACTTGTAAAATTTACGAATTCGTGGACATTGGCTACGTAGTTCAATGTGCACGTTTTGTGCACATAGAGGCGCTAGCCCACAGAAACAC